ATTCTTTTTTTTTTTTTTTTTTTTTCATGACCGCAGTCCGCGGTCATGCCCGCGGTGACCGGGGCCGCGGGGGATTCATAGCCTGGCGCCACAACATGAAAAAACATCGAGTGTGAGTTACAGTTATTACTTCAGGGCAGGGATGCTGGCTGGAGTTCCGCGCAGGTGCTGGCCCCCAGCAATAGAAAGGGGGCTTTTTTGGGAGATTGAGAAATCGGGGACACAAAATTGATCATATCTGCATGTACAGGATGCAGCATACCGTCATGAGTGTGGAAATCAAGCTGGCAACTCGGGTCAGCCGACAATCGCATGTGGATGGGCCCAAAAGTAGGGCTCTTCGGGGTTGCTTCCTGCTTCCGTTCTAAACTTGCGAAGATTGGAGAACAGATCCAAGGCCTTGACAATGGAGTTCACATGTTCAGGATGCAACGAGATTGTGACAACCTGTCTTGTCCTTCAACTCGAAGTCCTACGCATTGATTTCTTGGCACTGTCGAGTCTGCACGATCAGGCTGGATGGGGAGAGTTTGCCGTGGCGGCGAAGGAGGTGGCACCTCCAATAATCCAGGGTGGCAAAGGGTGGTGCAAAGAGTTCGTGTTCATAGAAATCGTGGCCTTCTGAGAATCCAGCTTTCTACTCATCTGCTCAATTGTGTGTGATCCAGTCTTATCATCTTGTTGTAACACAGCAAGAGTGCCGAACTGGCTTGCATTGGTCGTCACAACGAAAAGTAGACTGGGATCATTGGATAACTTATCAATGCAGACTTGAACTTTTGAAATGCAGTCTCGCATTCTTCAACGACACATTCTTGCTTGTCATTATGCGCAATGGGCGGGCTATCACTGAAAGATTTGGGACAACCTTGCAATAGTATGAGGGTATACCCAAGAATGACCACAGATATATACATTTGCAGGTTGGGCCCATGAGTTGATGGCCTTCACCTTTGGTGCTTCCTATGCTAGCACTGGAGCTTCTATGCCCAAGATAGACAACACTGTCGTTTCCAACTCAAATTCCTCCTCTCACAGTATATCTACGGCCTCTTGTGAGTGGCATTCATTTAGAGCAACACCCTCTAAACTAGTTAATGCGAACACAACGAGGAAAGGTGCA